CACACACACACACACACACACACACACACACACACACGCGTTCACAGTCTTTGATGGTTTGCCCTGCTGCTGGCATCCTCAGGCATCTGATCCTGTAGGACACACGTTTTTTTTTTCGGACTGTGGATAGATTACTTAAAGGTTTTAAAAGACCCAAGTTTGTTGGATACAGACCATATACAATTTTTGTTTTTACAATTAAAAATATATATTCAGATGTTTTAGGTTTACATGATTTACATGTTTTTAGAAAATTAGTTTTCCGTGTGTGTGTGTGTAGTCCAGTGGTTTGAGGACACACACTGTGTGTTTGGGTAAAAGATCACAGGAGTCAGACAGATGGGCACACAGTGGGGATTTTATAAGCTGCCACACTCTCCTGAACACACACACACACACACAGTGGCATAAACACTAGCAGTAAGTGATATGTAATTTAAAATATGTATACAAAAAAAGATTGCAACTACCTTTTTATTAGAGCATGCACACAGACCTTCTTTAAACCAATTCAGACAGGGAAATTGATAGCATCTGTCATAAGTTATAAACAGATAACCCACACACACACACACACACACAGGTGGAAATCTTTTAATCAATATTTCAATCTAATAGGGCAGCAAGGAGATCGCAGATAGATCGATAGATAGATAGATAGATAGATAGATAGATAGATATTGCATTGTTCATGTCACAGTTTCTATCACTTTAAAGTTTTACTCCCAAAGTTAAATGTTTTAGCTTATTATTATCTAAAAATTAAAAAAGATTAAGTTTAATAGAACAATTCATCCATAAATCGTACATCACAAACGCGTTCGTTCCTCATAAGCAGGTCCACCCGGCTTTTTTATTAAATTCGCAAATATGTTTTTTCATTAAATATATTGATTTTACTTTCAACTGCAGTCTTATTAATCCCCTCAGCTAACATTTTAAAATCCATTCTGCAGAGTATTGCAATTTTCCTTCAAAATACGCATAAAGTCTTCAGATTTCATTTGGGCCTGCTCATTTGCAACTGTAATTACTGTAAATAAATGTCAACTGCCCAAAAAACTTCACAATAAGCATATTCACAAGACTGAACTGATCTTGTAGTGTATAAGCAGGCTTCAGTGAACTGAATTAATGTACAATCACATTATGAGAGAGAGAGAGAGAGAGAGAGATTAATTCATTCACAGCTGGAGGATACTTTAACAGACATGTCCTACATTAGCCTTCAAACGTCCTAACACACGCCACTTCAGAGACGGTCTGATTATGGCAGCAATTGATATGATAATCGTATGTGACATCTCTAGGTCTGCCGTAGGCTAAAGGGTTCGGAATAGGAAAAACAACATTTCTAACTAAACAAAAAGATGATTTGAAAACAATGAGAATAAACACAGACACTAAAAGCAAGAAAACAGTTTATCTGTCAGGTTTTTTTATAGCACTATTGTTATGTTTTCATAAAATAAATCTTGTTTTGACAGTACGGACAACCTTACATTTCATTTTATTACAGTTGACAGTAACCTTTGATACTCTTTTATACATTCACACAAACACATTAGACAAACACATTCTGTACACCAGTGTTAATTTTGACAGGCATTTTTGATTTAGTTTTAGTCTTTATCTTGAGACGAAAATGCTTAATAGTCTTAGTCACATTTTAGTCATTTGAGTCTTTCATAGTTTTAGTCGACGAAAAGTCATTGCATTTTTTGTCATTACTTTTAGTCATTATTTTACTCAAACTGCAGTTACCAACATTTATTTTGGCAGCTATTTTATATGTAGTCTTCAAACAAAAATAGTCATTAATTCTTCTCTCTTTAGACCAAATCAATTAAGCTTATGAGAAATTTGAATCAAGGATTGAATTTGGAAAAACTTGAATAAATGATGACAATTTTCATTTTTGGGTGAACTATCCCTTTAACAGTAGTGAAAAGGGAGCAACTTATAAAAATTATAGTTGTTCATATAATATATATATATAATTTATCATTTTTGAAAAAG